GTCAAATGAATAAATAAAATCTTTAAAAACAAAAACAAAAAAAAACAGGTTTATTATGTCACAGTTTCTGTGGGTTGGGAATCTGGGTGTGGCTCGGCTGCATCCTCTGGCTCAGTGTCTCTCACTGGACTGTAATCATGTGGGGCTGCAGTCATCTCGAGGTTCCTCTTGAGTTGTTGGCAGGATTCAGCGTCTCACTGGCTGTTGGCTGGAGGCTCCCTCAGTTTCTTGCCACGCGGGCTTCTCTGTAGGGGAGCTCACAACATGGCAGCTTGCTCTATCAGAACAAACAAGTGAGAAAGCAAGAGATGGAGTGTGAGCAAGAAGGAAGTCTTTTATAAGCCACTCTCAGAAGAGGCATACCATTGCTATTTTAGTCTATCCTAGAAGCAAGTCACTAGGTCCTGCCCAACCTCAAGGGGAAGGAGGGGAGCATTTTAGAAGCACCAGTCCATGTACTGTTTCAGCCACCTTTCACTCACAGTGTTCCAGACATAGGGGCCTATTTTCTTCCATGAACAAGTCCACACTTTCCTACCACAGGACTTTTGCAAAGCAGTTTTGTCTGCCTGGTAACCCTGCCCTCCCTGCCTAGTTCTACTTACTTACAGATTTCTTCTGCGGCCTCATTTTTGCAGAGAAGCCTTTACTGACCACCCTTTTCTTGTGACACAGGAAGGAGGGGTGCCCGAAACATGACTCAGCATCGCGTAGCCCCATTACCCTCAAGCCTGGTCGCTGATTGTCCAGCTCTCATTCTTGTATGGCGTACGGTGTTGGGACTCTGCAGCGGTAACTCTAATCCTCAAACAGACTTTGGATCTGGTTCCTGGATTTTTGGTGTATCATGTTGGGCTGCCCTAGCAGTCAAAGCAGAGGAAAGAGACAGACCCCTATTTCAGGCACGGTCCCAGCTCTGAATACATGTGTTTTTCTGGCCAAGTTGTTTTTACCATCTGTGTTCATGGATTCACTTGGAATGGGGATGATCATCGGTCCATGAACTCAGGTGTGGGACAAATATAAATTTCGGTATTATGCCTGACAGAATTCAATTTCTATTTTGAGCCTCCATTTGGTAGGGATAGGTAGCAACTTAGCTGCCGTCGGTCCACCCCCTCCCTTTCCCCAGAGACAGTATTTATGTTTGGTGTGCAAAGGTGATGGGAGGAGGGTCACCTGGTCTTTGATGTCACCTGTCAGTGGCAATTTCCATTCTGAGTCACTGGTCAACGCAGGTCTCCATGGAGCTGTCCCCATCTCCTGTCTGCAGCCTGTCTCAGGTCAGGTGACTCTGTTATCTCTATGACATTCTGGGGTTCACAGGAACATTGTATTATTCTTGGTGCCTCACAGGATTGTGGGAAACTAAGAAATTTCTGAACCCCCATCGCCTAGATGCCATGTGGCCGCTTCTGCTCTTTTGGGCCTTCCTGCCTCCCTGGGACTGCCTCTTCCCTTCAGCTCGGAGACCCCACAGAACCCCCACGGACTCTGGGACTTTGCCCCTGCCCCACACCTGGCCCTGGGTACTAAGTGTGCGGGCCTCCCACAGGAGCGTGGGCATGCTCGTCACTCCCCCTCCCAGCCCACTGCACATCACTCCCGGGAACATTCTTCTGTCTGCAGGGGGGAGAGGAACACCTTGCTTTGCTCGTGATTGCCTTCCTCCACATGTTTTTGGCTAAGCCATGAGTTCTTTCTACTCTGCTGAGAATCTGGTCTTGGAAGCTTAAAAGCCAAGGAAGACTCCTGAGCCTGCATGATACGGGACACTGGAGGGTGCAGAGACCCAGAGGAGGCCCCCCATCTGGGCTGACCATCTGGGAGGGGTGGGCCTGGGAGGCCAGAGCTGAGCTGAGGGATGAGTGGAGTTACATAAACAAGGCAAGGTCAGCTCAGCTGAGAGAAGAGCCTGTTCAAAGGTGGGAGGTCTGGAGGCCGGCCTCGGAGTGACTGCCCTGGGTCTGTATGATGGGAAGGCAGGTTGTGTCTCCGGAGTAGCTGTAGAGAAGGTTCGAGAAAGAGGCAGGGATCTGGTAACAAAAGTTCTTGGATGCCAGACCCGGGCATTCGGATTTTATCTTCAGGAAATGTAGATCCATAGGAGTATTTTTAAACATGCCCCGATGTGGCCGGCTTTGTACATTGTTAGAATGTTCTCTCTGAGCCAAGGTGGAGGGTGGGCTGGAGTCAGCATGCCAATGAGGAGCCTGTTGCAGCCACCTGGGCAGGGAGAGATAGGGCTGTGGTGGGAAGATGGAGATGGGGTGCAGGGGACAGATTCCTGGGCTTGGTATCTGAGGGGAAGTGGAGGCACAGAGAGCTAAGAGTCTAGGACGACTCCATGGCCTCTGATGGTTGCTATTTCCTGAGCTGTCAGGATGGCAACCCCAAGAGAAAAAGGTCAGAGAGGAGGCAAGGGTTAGTTTAGTCTGAAGTCTGGGATTCTGTGGATAAGGAACCTCTTGGTTGTCCAGTTTGACCCTCAGCAGAACACCTCGGGGCAGAAAAGCCCACATCAGAAGTATATGAAAGAGGCAGCCTCAGAACTCTAGTACTTTCTAATAGTTGACTGTGGTCAACGAGGCAGTTTCAACAGCAGATGACCATAAAATGCAGATGACTGTGACCCAGATACAGCCAGACATTAGGACTCATTGAGGAAGCGAGGTCAAGGGCTGCTTTCAGGGGCTCAGCTGTCCCATCAGGGCCCCAGATGTCGCTTGCTTTCAGCTCCGCCATGCTCTGGACTTTTGGTCTTCAAGGCGATCCCTCTTGCTAGCAGATGCATGCCACATCCTAAATTTCGGTGTTCCAGAGAACGAGACCAGTGCTCCAGGAAACAGGACATGTTTCCCAGTTGAGCCGGTGTGTTAGCATTGGCAGTTGAGGTGACATTTCTTTGTCATCCCAGTGTGAACAAAGTGAGGTGTGTCTCCGCAGCAGTTTAGGAGGACTCTAAACCATTTGGGAGGTAACAGGGACCCAAGAGAAGAGTGTCACCGTTGGGGCCAAACAGACCTGAATCCTGGCCTTTCCGTGACCATTGAGTAGGTCACTTCCCCTCTCTGAATGTCCCTTTTAGCGGCTCCGAAACGGAGACAGGCAGGGGCTGTGAGTGTTCGGGGAGATGACTCTTATCAAGGACCTGGCACAGTTCCTGGCACGCAGTAGCCTCTCCTTAACCCCTTCAGCTCTCCTCCCTCCCCACTCACCTTACTCCACACAAGGGGACGACGCTGTTTTAAAGAACCACCCCAGGAGAAGACTCAGTCCAGCCCCATGATATCAACTGCTAGTGGTAGAATTTCACACAGATGCTGAGGGGGACAGGGGTTTGAGATGACAAGGACAGGGAAAATCTGGGTTGCTTGGTTTATATATATATATATATATATACAGCTTAGATCCACTCTGTTCATATGGGGCTATCCCAATGAATAGCGTCCTAACTGGGAAGTAAAAGAGTGATTTAAAAAAAAAAAAAAAAGTCTTGAAAGCCTCTTGTGTCATGTTAGAGTTCAAGCTAGCAGAAATAGAGCCTCCCTCGCCCTCAGATGCCTCTGTTCTCCTGCTCGTTCGCCTGGCAAAGCTGTGAGTAAGCTCGGAGCCTGCTTGCAGGGGGAGAGTGACTGCCTGGCATGCCCGATGAGTCACCGCCCGCTGCCCCGATCCCCTGCCTGCCAGGTGGCCACTATCTTTGGACATTTTTATTTTCCTTTGTGGGGAAGGATAATTATGGCCTCCATGCCCTGTGGCTGTATCCATTCTGCCTGCCCAGACAGAGGCAGAGATCTTTCACAAAACCCTCTTTTTTAAGGGAAACTGGGGGTGGTGGGGGAGGGGGTGGGGGACTTGAGTGTGTCTGAGGTGTGCAGAAGTGCGGGGGGTATAAGGGTAAGAACCTCTCGGGATTTGCAAAATGCTTAACTGTGCACCATCAAGTAGTTATGTAAAGTAGCTCGATTGGCCTACAGATTGTTTGAGTTGTTTTTCTGTTTTGTTTTGTTTTGTTTTGAGTAGGTTCCACGCTGGGCTTGAACTCAGGACCCTGAGATCAAGACCCGAGCTGATAGCAAGAGTCAGACGCTTAACTGACTGAGCCACCCAGGATCTCCAAAGTTGGTTTTTAAACCCAGGGATTGTACCAATGCAAGAGAGAGGAAACCAGATTTGACAAATGCAGGATGGGGCTCTGTGGTTTACACAAACACAGAAGAGAAACATCTGGGGACCGAATGGCCTCAAATGGAAAATGGTCAGGTGATTAGACAGATAAATAGACCGATGGATGGGTGGGTGTTACTCTAGAGGGAGCAAGGGGAAATGCAGACATCAGGAGCTTTGGGATTATGTATGTGTAAAATGCAACCCTGTGGACATATGAAAGGTGTTCTAGATGGATGCTGGAGGCTGAAAAGTCAACCCAGGATGGAAGATAAAATGTCGAATTCAGTCTAAAGAGTTACTCCGCACCTAGAAAAGGCAGAGCTGGCTGGAGAAGTCATCAGTTGAGTTGTGTCACTGGTGGAAAATATTTATGCATGAAGTCTACAGTGGTTAGGTTCTGAGCATGTGTTTAGCAATCATACTCCTGGTTTTGAATCGCCACCCCAGGAAGTAACCCTGGGTGAATTATTTCACTTCCCTGGATCTCAGTTTCCTCGTCTACAAATGAACGTGTGTCTCATGGAGAGGATGAAACGAGGTGATATAGCTAGGACATGTAGTTAGAACTTGGTCCATGGTTGTGATTATGCTTCCATGTATTACTTTTTTCAACACACTTTAATTATGAGGGAGCACTTACTTCGTGCCAGGCCTGTGCTAGACACTAAGGATATAGACTTCTTTGATTCGTTTCACGAATATTCGCTGAGCGCCTACCATGTGCCTGGCAGACACTGCTGAGTCCTGGAGGACGGACTGAGGGGGACGCAGATGAGACCCCTGCCCACAAGATGCCCTCTAGTCTGGTGAGGAAGACGGATGTTCAAGTAACTAAAGTGCTTAGCATGGACAGGTTCTTGCTGAATGCCAGAAGGTCAAGGGGTTCCAGTCCAACGGATTGTCAACCCCTCTGCAGATGGGAAAACTGAAGCGCAGAAAGGTGAGACTTGCCCAGGTCCCCGCACCTAGTAAGTGGGAGAGCCTCAGCTGGAACCCACCCCAGCCTGACTCCAACGTCCACGTCCTTTCTCAACAACACACAATTAGTTGCCAGGGTGTGTGTTCCAAGCTTCTGGATGAAGACAGGGGGCCAGGCAGAGTTGAGAAAATGCACAGACACAGAGGTATTCATTTTTCAGTCTCCAATTTGGGAAAGATGTAATTTCAGGGATACAGAGGAGAGGATTTGAGAAGAGTCAGCACCTCCTGCCGCAGAGGGATGCTGGGTGTGTCTTGGTGTGTGTGAGTGAATGCGTGCGTCTCTGCGGATTTCTGCGAATGTGTGGCTGCACGCGTGCATCTCTGTCCCTGTGTGTGTGTTTGTATGTCTTCTGCCTGTGGAGGGGAGGCAGACGGGTGTGCCTGTCTGTATGTGTGTCTGTGTATTTGTATGTGTTGCTCTGTGTGTCTGTATATCTCTGTATTTATGTGTGTGTCTCCATCTGTCTATGTGTGTGGGTCTCTGCTGGTGACCCCGTGTATGTGTTTGAGTTGAGGGGTGTGTAGACTCGTGCGTATGTATGTATATGGATTTGTGTGTCTCTCTCAACCTGCGTGTGTGTCTTTGAAGGCATGTGGGTGTATTTGCACGCGTGTGTGCTGCTTGGTATCCGTCTTCCCGTGTGTGTGTGTGTGTCTGTGTGCCCGTATATGTATGTGCGTGAGTGTGTGCGTGTGTGCACGCCTGTGTGGGGGTGCAGTGCGCCCTGTCCCCGCCCTCCCCCCCAGTTGTTTCTGTGGAGCTGATCTAGCTTGTCCTTCAGAATTGGGGACACGGCAACGGCAGTGACTTTCTTATCTCGCAGCCTGCCACTCTGTCAGAGGAAATTAGATTTGCTTGGCACAACCTGCTCCTTATGATGTCATCCTGGCTGTGATCTGCGTGTCCTGCTCTCCTAGGTATTTATCTTTTGATTTGCCTGATGAATACCTGCCAATGCAGAAATTAAGAGAACATGAGTTTGGGGGTTTTTTTTTTTTTTTAAAGAATGATACCAGGGGTGGAACATTAGCTGCCCTTTTCTTTGCTGTGGACGTGGAAGCCATGGTAAAGGAGATAGAGCCTTGGCTTTGAAATGGAAAGACCTCGGCTCAAGTCTTCAGTTGGCCCTTTCAAAAGCTGTGTGACCTTGGAGAGGACACTTTACCTCTCTGAGCCACGGTTCTTTTTCTGCTAAATTCAGACAGTTCTTTGGAGGGACAAATATAATAACTGATGAAGATGTTCTCAGAAATCCACAAAGTCCTTAGACGACATGATGTCAAGGCAGAAAGGCCCCGCAGGACGACTCTGGGCTCAGACATCAGGCAAACTCTGGGTTTGGGTCCTGGCTCCATTCTTTTCCCAGTGTATGACTTAGAGCAAGTTACTATACCTCTCTGAGCCTCAGATTGCTTCTCTACTAAATAGGATATTATATATAAGGCACTTAGCTCACAGCTGGCCACCACGAGGGCCCCCCAAATGAGAGCTGTTAATATTTTTAATAATACAACAAGGGCTATAGCAGTATTAATATTTGTCCACTTTCAAACTTTCAGTGAACATAATAAGCAAGATAAAGCCTTTGGAAGAGCAGGGTGACATGGGCAGCATGATAGAAGTGATTTACTATTATTTATTTTTACTATTTCAGGATGCATCATCAGCAGAGTGTTCTTGGCATCACCATATTCTTGGCAAGTGCTTTATGTTTCATCTAGAACTGAGAGACCGTTCTGGTTGCACAAAAGGGTGAGAACAAGACAACCTGCAGCCCAGAGTGGTCGGGGCTGACTGCTGGGGGGCTGACTTCCCCAGGACCTGTCCCCAGCCCCTCCAACCACATCCTTTCTATACGATCTCCTCCCTCCACCTCAAGCCCCCTTGCCTTGGAAGATTCCCTTCCCTCCCCTGGAATATTCCTCACCATCACTCTAACCCCAGATCACCTGGGCTAGGCTCCAGGTGCCTCTGCTCAGGCTAAGTCCCTGCTCTGTGCCCCCAGTGCACCGTGCATTCACCCCACCATGCATGACATCCAAGGTGTTCAAATGCTCTGCTCTGTGCCTGGCTCCCTCCCAACCAGTGCCCTCCAGGAGGCAGGGACAGGGACCACAGAGCCCTAAGTGGATGTTTGCGGAGTGAACACGTGGAGATTAGCTGTCTCCTCTCACTTTCTGTCCCCACCTCCCTCAGATGCAATACCTTCAGATAGCAATATATTCATTTCAGCTGGACCCACTTCTGACAACCATTTTGTTCAATAACAGAGATCTGGAAAGATGTGCCTGTTGATTTTGTTTGGGTTTGCTTTTGAAACAAGTGTTTGACCTGCTTCAGCCTGTGTTTTGGGGCTAATGTGTGGGTTTGCTGCAGTGACCATGGGGGTCCACATGGGCCTGCAGCATCAGTTTTGGAGGGTGGATGCCCAGAGTCTGGGATTGGACTGCCTGATTCCAGGCCTCGGAGTTATTGAACCTCTTTGTACCTCAGTCTCCTCATCTGTAAAATGGGGTTACATAATAAAACATGGCTGCCACACCAGGGTTTTGTTGGCATTAAATGAGATCACTCAGATAAAGCCCTTAACCCAGTGCCTGGTGTAGAGCGAGTGTTCGGTGAAGGTGGGCACGTGTTCCTATTGTGTTGCCCTGGTAACCAATGGAAATATCAGACCAGGACCTCCACTGGAACAGAGACTGAGCATTTGGAGTCAAACATCTGCCTCCATTCTGCAGATCTGGGCTCCCAGGACTAGATGTTGGAATTACTCTGCAATTTCAGATGAGTCTTTTTATGGTCAGGTGGGCATCATTCAAGGAGACATGTTCAGTCTATCTGCCTGATGAAGTGTGAGCCTCACAGTGTGAGCCTTTCTTCTCCCACTTAACAGCCACCTGGCTCTCCTAGTTGGCGATCTACTTGGCACACGGGCCACCTCCTGGTGTAGAGCAGGGGTCAACAGATGACATCCCTCAAGCCAAATCTGGCCCACAACCTGTTTTTGTAAATAAAGTTTTATTGGAACACAGCCATGCCCATTCATTTACATCTTGTCTGTGGCTGCTTTTGAATTATAATGGCAGAATTGAGTAATTATCATAGAGACTGTAAGCCTTGCAAAATCTAAAATATTTTCTATCAGGACCTTTGCGGGAAAAATTCAGCTACACCTGCTGTTCAATTGAAACAGGATTTAAAGAGTAATCTGCTTGAGCTAAATCAGTAACCTGAGCATCATCCCATCTCCTCACTCTCCCTCAGCCCTGATATCAGGTTGATCACCGAGATCAGATGATTTTGCTCCACTATATCTCATATCTTTTCCCCTCATCTCTTTCTCAAAAGCCACTGTCTTAGTTTAGCTCTGTCTCCACCCCTCTTGACTATCTCCCACCAGGGCCACCATTTGCCTCTAAAGTGTCTGGGTGAATTAGATAAAGATGTCTTCTCCGGGTAGCGACAGCTCCACGACACACATGGTGAATAGCAGGAGTGGCTCTGTGCAGGGAAAAAGCCACCTCACCCTAATGATTATACCGAATCAGTTATAGCTCTGATGCCTACTAGTTATATCTATTGATCATACATTCTCCTCGCCTCCCTATCCAGGTAGCCCTTCACCCTAGAGCTAGAGTGATCTTTCTAACAGTCTGTGTCCCTCTCCTGCTCAACCCCTCCATAGCTCCCCTCATCCTCATGACAGAGCCCATGTGCATGGTATTCAAATCCTGTTATGGTCTGGTCTTTGCCAGTCTCCCAGTCCCATGCCTCACCAACTGCTCAGCCTACCTCACACCTGGGCACTGTCAAACAACTTGGAGTACCCTTTACCTAGACCTCCATGCTGTTCATACTTTGGGGACTGGCACAGTCTTGTCCTTCATGAAATACTTTATTCCTCCTTTTATCCATCAGAAAACTTCCCAGTCTTCCTTCAGATCCACCGCAAGCATCTCAAACATCTTCACACACCCGGGTTCACAGTGTATTCACAGGTCAGAAAATCAGGGTAGTGGATCTTGACCAGTTTGAAAGGTGCACTAGTCTAGAAAACACAAGAGTGCACCACCTTTGGTCAGGCGCTGTCATAACATAGGATAAATAACATAGGCTCTGGGGCCGCACTGCCTGGGGTCAAGTCTGGCTCTACATTTTATTAGCAATGACCTTGGGCAAGTGATTTAATCAGTGTGCCTCAGTTTCTTCACCTGGAAAACAATGATAATGATAGCACTTTCTTCATGGCTTGTCATGAAGATTAAATGAATATATTAAGATACATGTATAAATGGTGTACGTAGCTTAGAAAGCTACCTGGCAACATGGCAAGTGCTGTAAACGTTTTTGAGCTGGTGCATGTGTGCGTGGGGGGGGGGGGGCGTGTGCATGCGCACACGTGTGTGTGACTGTGGTTTTGATGAGCACTCACCGAAAGCTGCTTCTCAGGCTGGGATCTATTCTGATCCTGATTAAGGCAATTATTTGACTATATTATGATTTTAAAACATTATTTTGCTTTCCTCTCTCCTTTACTAGATACGGAGCTCCTGGAGGGCAGCAGGTATGTCTTATTATCTGCATTCCAAGCACCCAGCACTGTGCTTTGTTGATTTTTTTTAATAAATGAGAAAATGAGGCCTATGTCCTAAAGCTGCACCACCACGGGGCCTTCTTCCTACAGTTACAGGGGCCAGAATCCTCCTGCCCCCTACCCGCCCCCCGCCACCCCCCCCCCGCCGCCTTCCACCCCCAACTTCTTCTGTGAGAAACATGCCGAGCTTGTGTGGGATTGGGATGACTTTCTCAGCCTATCTGTTCTCCACGATGAGATGAGAAAACGTGACCACATCTCATCGTCAGCGAGAGGGAGGAGGGCATAAGGGACCCTCGAGCAAGAGATGGAACTTCCAAACTGATTCCGAGGAAAATGGAAACTCCAGCTGACCTAAGAGATTTCTATAATGAGAGAAAACCAATTTAAATGCAAATAACCCAAAGCATAGTTGGGGAAAGGCGTTGTGCTGCAGAAAAAGGCTGGGAAAACAAACATAGGCCTCATCACGAGGCCAGTTCGCCGTTGGATGGGAGGGCTGCTTTATCCATTTAGGATTAAAGTCTGAACGAGGGACAAAGAGTCGCATGCATTGCTGGCAGCATTCCCTGGTGCTTCGTGGTGCCGCCTGAGACATGGGCGTTCCTGAGGGAGCCAGACGCTGGCCACTACCATTTACGGGGGCCCCCAGCAGGTGTCAGTTGTTCTGCAAGGCGTAGAGAACAAAAGATGTCCCATAGATAGGCACGGCCTCGGAGGGGCTCACAGCCTCGGGGAACCGTTAGAACGTGGAGTCGCTTCTGGCCCCACAGCAAGTACTTACATTTTATTGAGCATTTACTTTGCACCAAACCCCCGCCTAAATATTGTATGTGATGGTAATCCATCAGATTCTCACAGTGACCCTGTGAGGGAGGGCTTATTATCATTCCCATTTGACAGGCAAGGCGACTGAGGTTCCAGGAGGTAAGAAATTTGCCCCTGTTTGTTTCAGACCCAGACAGAATGGCTCCAGCCCTGAGGAGCTGAGAAGAGACACGGTGCTGCTGGCTTTGGCCCAGGGCAGTAAAATAACCCCGTTCGTGGATTGCTCTGCCGCTCACTGTGTGACCGTGGGGGGTTACTTTCCCTCTCTGTGCCTCCTTTGCCTATATAAGATGAAGGGGGTGGCCTAAAATTATTTTAGACCATAAAATTACATTATTCTAGGACTCCAGCTGCCCTCATGAATAGCCGTTGCCCGGTCGATAAGACACCTCCTCTGTCCTTCGACAAAACACCTCCTCTGTCCTCCTTGATGCCCCCGCCCCTGGCCTCTACCCTTGGTGGCCCATTGCTGTTGCAACGGAGCACTTTAATTTCCTCCTTTGGTTTCATAATTCAAGGACAGCACCATCTGCCACATTAAATCCACGTTCCCTGCTAGCCTCCTTCTCAAAACAAGAGATGGATAAAGGCTTCATCCGGTTTATTTCACGGATGGAGCAAGAACTGGCAAAACCAAACGGGGATAGCTTTGGCCTTGCAAGCTGTATTAATCCCCTAATCTTCTGGTCGGGCCCCCGAGCCCATTCTGTCATCCTCACTGCCTACCCCAGCCAAATCAGGGTGATGATGATGATGGTAGATGACATTTACCGAGGCTCTTCTGAGTCAGGCACTTTCTTAAGGCTTTTTTGTGGATTCATTTATTTCGTCCCCATTACATCTCTGCAAGGAAGGGGCTAATAATAACAGCCCCACTTTACAGATGCAGAAACGGAGGCCCAGGAAGCTTAAGAAATTTGCCGAAGACCACGCAGCCGGCAAACAGCAGAGGCTGAATTGAACTGAACTGGCTGGGGAAATCGCCACTTACACACGGGGATGGCCAGCCCGAGAGGAGCCAGGCTTCCCAGCTGAGCTTTCTGGCCTCTGACATTTGAGGTGTCGAGGGCACTGTCCTTTATTAAACACTGATTTGACACATTTTTACTGAGCAGCCCAGAGTGTGCCCGGCGCTGCTTTCCCTGCTGAGTGGCCAACAGAGAACAAGGCCCGCTGGGGTCCTCTCTCAGAGGGCTGAACGTCTAGTACAAGCACAAACAGACGTGATCATTGTAGGTGGTGATAGCATACCACAAAGAGATGCAATAGGGGCACGAGAGGGAGAAATGGGTGAGTCAGGGCAGGCCTCCTGGAGCGGAGGGCCTCTGAGCAGAGATGTGAGCAGCATTCAGCAGTGCCGCGGGGTTTCTCGGCCTCGGCACTGCGGAGATCGTGGGCCGGGTCATTGTTATGGGGCCTATCCTGGGCACGATCGGCCGTTGAGCAGCATCTCTGGCCTCCACCCACGAGATGCTGGTAGTAGCCCTTCTCTAGTGTGACATTGCCAAATGTCCCTGAAGGGCGAAATCACGCCCCCGTTGAGAATCCCTGACTCATGAGATCAGCAAAGCAAGCGGCGAGGGTGGAAGGGCTAGCAAGCTGGGCCGAGCATTCGAGAAGCAAGAAGACTGGTTTGGCTGGAGGGCAGGGGCCCAGGGTAGGGGTGGCAGGATCGTCACAGCTCTTGAAAACTCTCTAGAAAGCACTCAGCACACTTACAGAGTTTCTTGTCTGTGCCAGGCATTGTACCAGGTGTGTCCAAGGACACAGTGCATGCCCCAAGGTGATCACAATTCGGGGCGGCTGGATGAGACACTTGTGTCCGGGAAGGCAGCTGTCAGCATGGGGCTGTCCATGGTAACAGAAGATTCCGGTCAGAAGGCAAGCAGAGAGGGGTTCCGAAGGCAGTGACCGCAGTGCAGGAGGTCTGGGCCCCTTCTTGAAGAGGAGATAGGGACGAGTGAAGCCTTCACCTTCCCAGCATCCCAGCCCTTCCATCTTCCGTCAGCAACCATCTTGCCCCCCAGCCTTGCAGCATACAATTTTCGTGGAATTTCTAATCACGGTGCCCCCCTTGTCTGACCAAGGGGCTGGCATGAGACCCAAGCTTGGCTATCAGATTCTTCCTTCCTGGAATTAGAATACTGGGCAGAGAAACCCAAGGGCAAAGAATGGCTAGAGTCCATTTTTCTAATGAAAACGGAACAAGGCAAGTTCTTTTGTTCTGGCATTATTTTCTACTCTCTCAACAACCTAAGAAGCAATTGTTTCTCTCTCTCTTCCAAAGCCTTGTTTCCTAGCTTTTCCTTCTAATGCCCTTTCAATATATATCCATTTTAGTTCACCACAGTGGATTTCCGATGCTTGAAACCCCAATTAAAATAGAAACAGTGCTATATGGACAGGGAAAAGAGAGTGTCGATTTCTGATTCACGGCACTCACCACTTTATATTAAATAAGCTGTATGTCCCTCTCTCTCCTAGCAACCAGCAGCTTCTCCAGGGCTGGGAGAAGGTTTTCCTCACAACACTCAGCTCAGGGCTGGCTTCTGGCTTTGCACTCGCCCTGGTTTATAACTACTCATTTCTTTGTGGGATCATTTGCTTAATGCCATCCTCCCCCACCATGCCAAGGCCCCATGAAGACAGAGTATATGCAGCCTACCCCAGTAAGGTGACCGACCTTCCCGATTTGCCTTTGTCCCCTGGGGGTTTTCTGGGACAGGGACTTCCCGTGCTAAAACCAGGAAAATCCCAAGCAAATCAAATCCCCAGGTGGCCCTGGCCACCCTACCAGGACCTGGCATAGAAGCCTTCAAGCACCATTTGTCCCTGACATTCAAGAAATACATGTTGAACTGTAGAGGCAGCCCAACAGAAGGCATATTCTTTCATTCTGCATTTCTTCACACTGACTGTGTGCCCGGTAACCAGCTTGTCAAAAGCAGGGGATTCAAGGAAGGGTGTCCCAGCAGCCAGGACTGGAAATGTAAATTGGAACTAGACTGGAGAGGGGGTCTTGAATGCTGGGCTCAGAAATCTGGATGCCACGCAGGTGCAGCAGATCCGGCTGATTGAGAAGCAGGGAGGAGACATGAAAACAGGAATAATTTGGGGGTGATGCCTCAGCGACTGTCCCCCAGACTCTCTATTAGAGGAAGCATCTGCAGGGGCTGCCAAGCAGGGGGACGGAGCCTGAAGTCCATGTGAGTTGTTTGCTCGTTTTCTTGCTAGGGTCTAGGCTAGGCACAGAGGGGTTTTGGCTACCTCCTTTTTCAACTCAAGCACAGCCATCTGCTCGACTCAACAAGCAGAAAATCCACCCCCAGGAAACGTGAATTTATTTGTGGATATGTGATGAATCCCACAGCTTCGCTCTTGGGGAGATCCAGCAACCTGAACCACGCCACGAGGCTGTCCTCCGGGTGGACATCACCCCTGCCCCACCAGCAGGTGAGAAAACATCCATGCACAGCCAGGTGCACTTTTCGGAGGAGGCCTCCTAGACTTTGAGGACCTGGAAATCCTCTGAGAAGAACATTTCTCTGATTTACCTCCCTCAATTCAGAGAGGGGAAGGAATGTTCCTAAAACGACCTAGTAAGTGAGAAGCAGAGAGTGGGCGGTTCCCTCCTTAGCTTTTCTCAGTAAAGAACTGAATCACGTAAAAGGGGGCCCCTTGCTCCTGGCAGACAGGAGAAAGTTCTAGAAGGTGAATAAACAAGGAAATAAAACATTAAATCGTGAGCTTCAAGAATTTTTCCTCTTTGAATTCTTTCTGTCCTTCTTACCACACGGAGAAGGCAGTCTCATTTTGGTACTCACAGGTCTTTAGCACCTCTCTGAAACTTTAACACCTCTCCAGATCTCTCTTTTAAATGGAAATCAAACAGGCCTCAAGCCCAGAGTCTTCAATGGGCACCCCGTTTCCCCAGAATTCAGCAATATTGCTTTATTTTCATGGTATTTCTTTTTATGGATAGCTTCTTTTTGTGGCAGGTGGTATTGGCTTTCCATTTATGGTAATGAGTACATTTCCCTTTTGAACAAATGTATTTAAGTTTTAAATGTGAGACAAGTTAAAGAAAAATAATGAGGGAGAGACGAGGCCAAGTGGCATGCAGCTGCTGCACCAGGATTGGTGGTCCTCACATGATGGACGTTTGAACACTGGGGTGGGGATCCGATCGGAGATGCAGTGACTCCAGGGTCGCTGACCAGAGCACACGGCAAGCCTGAGATTTAAAGGTGGCTCCTTCACTGAATTAGAAACAGAGACATTGGAAGCTCTTCACGTGACCTTGAACAGACAGAAACCTGAGATGAGAGAGAGAGTGGATCTATTGTTTAACTTGGCAGAGGACCCTCCTCATGGGTAAGGGGTCTCCTCCTTAAAGGAAAAGGTGGGCAGTGAATTTGTGTATGTTTCCTACGAAGAACTACCGAAGGAGTAATAAAGGCAGGAACCGTGGTAGAAGGGCAGAAGCAGCTGCTGTGAATGGGCACCCTGTGCTAAGCTCTTCATATGCTTCCGAAAGCCACTCAGTCCCTTCATCAGCCCCATGCTGCTCGAGCTACTAGCGGATGTCTAAGGAGCAAGTACCATGTGCCAAGACCTCTTCAGAGCACTTTATCCACCCATGTAGTCCTAACAACATCCTTTGGAGACAAGTATTATCACCCCCACTTTATAGATGAGAAAACTGAGGTATTAAGAGACTAAGGAGTTCTGCAAGGTCACAGCTAGCAGGAGATAGAAGCAGATTCAAGTCCAGGCCATCTGGCTCTGAGCGTGCCCCTAAACTGTTAACGCTTCATGGAGGTGAGCGACCATAAACTTAATCTCCATTTTACAGAGGAGGACTCAGGCTTGCCTAAGATCACACAGCTACTGAATTGTAAAGTCAGCTAAACCACTTCCCAAGAGCGGCATTTTCCCAAAAGCAAGTTATTTCGTTAATTCAACAAATGCTTATTGAGCATCTGTCCTATGGGGACGGCCCCTCTTCTAGCACACATTGCTCTTGGGGGCTGTGGGTCCTCCCCCAGGCAGGGGAGTCAGCCTATGGACTTCTCCCTGGGACCTCTGCATTTCTGGTTAAATCTAAGCCAGACCAGCCTGCAGGCCTGGCTCTGTGGCAAAATCAGGAAGCCTGGGCAAGGCTTCTAGAACCTCTAGTCTGGCCTCAGTTGTGCCATTTTCTGCCGGAGCCTCTTTGCCCCTCCCAGCCTCAGCTCCCTCACCTACCAAATGGAGCTAATTAAATGATCTGACTCCACTCACAGGGTTATTGGGAAAATCCAACGAGAGTGTGTAGGTGGAAGACTTTTCACTCTGGAGCTCCACGTTAGTGGTCGCTGTCAGTTCGCACGGCTCTCTGGCGAGTTATCTTAAAATAGGAATTATTGGTTTTTTTCTAATTACGAAAGTTTGGGAATTACAGAAGAGCACACAGAAACAAATACAAATGGTCCATGACCCTACCCTACCCATTGGTGATCTCTATTAACCCACTGGTGTATTTCCTTCTGGTTCATAAATATGAAATAAATGTAAATATAATCATTGCCTGACTTAAAACCCAGCAGCTTCCCACTGCAGTTGGAGTAAAATCCAAACTCCATATAAACACCTCACCTTGGCTTTCATCCTTGTGTTGTGTGGCCTGTGCCTACCTCCCTCCCACCTCTTTTCTCCCACTCCCCCGTGTCTCTGCCTTTATTTATTTTTTTCTAAAACTGCAGTTGCATCACCCCTCAAGGCCTTTGTCCCTTTGCCTGGAATGCTCTTCCCTGGATCCTCATGAATGGATGTTTTTCAACATACAGGTCAAGATCGGAATGTCACCTCAGATAATTCCCTCCTCGTCACTCCGTCTAAACCAGCCCATCTTATGCCCTCTCCATGGCATCGCCTTACTCCTGGAAATTGTCTCGCTTGTTCTTTGACTTCGCCCCAAATGGTACACTGAACTTGTTCCCTTCTTTATCACCATGCCCGGAATATTGCCCGGCACGCAGCACATTAACTATTCAATAAGTGAATGGATTAGATTAATGCACTTCCAAGCTGGGATCATCCTAGATCGATATTGTGCAACTTGATTTTTTCACTTAATATGATGTGGCCACAATAACTTTAATGGCGGTGCGGTACGCCATTATATGGACGTATCATCATTTTTAACCAAGCCCCTGTTATTGATCAGCTGGGGCATTTCTCACTGGTGTGTTTGTAAGTAATATTACAGCAACCATCCTTGTACACACACAGGGAGGCTTTGCACACCTCCCTGATCGTTTCCCTAGGATTAATTCCCGCTGGTGAAACCCTGGGATCAAAGGGTCGAGAGTTTTAAGCCTCTTGATACGTATTGCCAGACTGACTTGAGGAAAAATCCTACTGTCTCTGAATTTGTTTTAATGACCCATAGTGTGCGCTATTCTTAGTAGAGTCTTCTGAAGGCAAAGGGAATGTCATTATCTCCTCACCCAGGAGAGCTAAGGTTGAGGCCATTGGGCAAGACAGGTCAGACCCACTTAATCTGCAAACACCTCCTTCCTTCCTGACAACATCTACACCTTTGAGCCCTACTGACCAGGCCCAATACATGGTACATAGGGATCCTGTCAGGTGGTGAGGTACCAAGGCTACAAGTCACTTTAGCCAGGCCGAGGCATTTCTCCTTCTGGAAATTAATGACAGCCTGGCCCAGCCAGACGTTGTGAACTGGATGTTCCTTCTTTTGCTCTCCAAAACACACCTGGGATGGGCCAGCTGGCCTCTTGCTGAACCTTGCCCATACCTGGCCAAGTCCTCTGTGCCTTTGTTCACCTGCCTTCTCCATGCCCTGCTCCATCTCCTGTCCCAAGGCCTAGCGCTACCCCCACCCCACTCCCACCACCCAGGAAGCCCCTCAGGGATCCCTCTCCAGCCCA